CACAGATCTCTCTTTTGTCTGCAGGCGGTATTTTGATGATTTTACCCACATTTTTCAACGGAATTGTTTGAAAATCCACACAAGGAGTTCCTTGTGGATACTTTATACCTCGGCATAGAATTATCTATATAGGTCCACGATATCGTATAGCCCCCATGTAACGGTACCCCCCGATATTCGGTATTTTGATGATTTTACCCACATTTTTCAACGGAATTGTCTGAAAATCCACACAAGGAGTTCCTTGTGGGTACTTTATACCTCGGCAGAGAATTTTCCATATAGGTCCACGATATCGTATAGCCCCCATGTAACGGTACCCCCCGATATTCGGTATTTTGATGATTTTACCCACATTTTTCAACGAAATTGTCTGAAAATCCACACAAGGAGTTCCTTGTGGGTACTTAATACCTCGGCAGAGAATTATCTATATAGGTCCACAATATCGTATAGCCCCCATATAACGGTACCCCCCGATATTCGGTATTTTGATGATTTTACCCACATTTTTCAACGGAATTGTCTGAAAATCCACACAAGGAGTTCCTTGTGGGTACTTAATACCTCGGCAGAGAATTATCTATATAGGTCCACAATATCGTATAGCCCCCATATAACGGTACCCCCCGATATTCGGTATTTTGATGATTGTAGCCACATTTTTCAACGGAATTGTCTGAAAATCCACACAAGGAGTTCCTTGTGCGTACTTTATACCTCGGCAGAGAATTGTCCATATAGGTCCACGATATCGTATAGCCCCCATGTAACGGTACCCCGCGATATTCGGTATTTTGATGATTTTAGCCACATTTTCAAATCGTATTGTCTGAAAATCCACACACGGAGTTCCTTGTGAGTACTTTACACGCAGACATAGATTTGTCTTTATAGGTCCACAATATCGTATATCCCCCCATATATCGGCACCTTCCTATATTAGATATTTTAAGGATTTTAAAAGAATTTTTATTGGATTTTATTTTTTTGAAAATTTTCAAATTCGTTCCAAATGGTGGAGGGTATTCAAAGTTCGGCCCGGCCGAACTTACTGCTTTTTTACTTGTTAATTTGTTGAATTTTCTAAAGATCTTCCAAGCAAAGAATGAAGTATCTTAAGCATGTCAATGATCAAAAATCTTTTTCTTGTTCAAGAATCTTTGAATCTTGAATTATTTAATAGCTTTCTTTTGCCCAAGAATCTGACCAATAGAAACTTGTAAAGAACTGACCAACGACCGTAATATCTTTGAAAGTCTTTCTAACCAAGAATCAGGGATATTTTAAGAAAGTAAGTCTCCAAGAATCTTGGTTCATTGAGAGAACTTTCTGACCAAGAGCCGTGAATCTTTGAAAGGACTTCATGACCAAGAATTATTTTTTTTATACCCTCCACCATACATAGTATGGAGGTTATATTAAGTTCGTCATTCCGTTTGTAACTCATCGAAATAATCATTTTAGACCCAACAAAGTGTATATATTCTTGATCACCGTAAAATTCTAAGACGATTTAGCGATGTACGTCTGTCTGTCTGTTGTAATCACGCTACAGTCTAAAGGAATAAAGATAGGAAGCTAAAATTTTCCACAGATCCCTCTTTCGTCTGCAGGCAGGTCAAGTTCAAAGATGAGCTATATCGGTCCACGATATCGTATAGCCCCCATATAACGGTACCCCCGATATTCTGTATTTTGATGATTTTAGCCACATTTTTCAACGGATTTGTCTGGTAATCCACACAAGGAGTTTCTTGTGGGTAAATTATCCCTTGGAAGAGAATTATCTATATAGGTCCACGATATCGTATAGACCCCATATAACGGTACCCCCCAATATTCGGTATTTTGATGATTTTACCCACATTTTTCAACGGATTTGTCTGAAAATCCACACAAGGAGTACCTTGTGGGTATTTTATACCTCGGAAAAGAATTATCTATATAGGTCCACGATATCGTATTGCCCCCATATAACGGTACCCCCGATATTCGGTATATTGATGATTTCAGCCACATTTTTCAATGGAATTGACTGAAATTCCACACGAGGAGTTCATTGTGAGTACTTTATCCCTTGGAAGAGAATTATGTATATAGGTCTACGATACCCCCGATATTCGGTATTTTGATGATTTAAGCCATATTTTCCTATGGTATTGTCTGAAAATCCACACAAGGAGTTCTTTGTGAGTACTTTACACCCAGACTTAGATTTGTCTTTATAGGTCCACAATATCGTATATCCCCCCATATATCGGCACCTTCCGATATTAGATATTTTAAAGATTTTAACAGAATTTTTAATGGATTTAATTTTTTGAAAATTTTCTAATTCGTTCCAAATGGTAGAGGGTATTCAAAGTTCGGCCCGGCCGAACTTACTGCTTTTTTGCTTGTTTTTCTAAAGACTTTCTTGAAATAACTTTCTTTTCAAAAAAACCAAACACTTTGAAGGAGTTTCTGTCCAAAATCGCAAAATTTTGAAATGATTTCCTGACCTAGAACCTCCCCCTTCTAGACCTCCTTACCAAAAATCGTAGACTTTTTTAATCAATTTTCGAACAAGAGTCGTGCATTTATGTTCTTTATACCCTACACCACAAGGTGGTCAGGGTATTATGTCTTTGTGCATTTGTTTGTAACAGGCAGAAGGAAACGAGATAGCCCCATAGTTCCTTTTGATGATCTGCATAGAATCACATTCTGAGTCGATTTATGCATGTCCGTCCGTCCGTCTGTCCGTCTGTCCATGTATTTTTGTAAACAAAGTACAAGTCGCATTTATTGCCCGATCCAGATGAAATTTTGCAAAGATCTTTTGTTTGGCCCAAGGACGAACCCTATTGAAATTGGAGATAATCGGTCAAAATTTAGATATAGCTCCCATATATATCTTCGTCCGATTTGCTTTTTATTGTGCACCAAACGTGTAATATCAGCCCGAATTGTATGGAATTTTGCACATACAACTAAATTAGGCCTGAAAAAAAGTATGCCAAATTTGATCGAAATCGTTTCAGATATAGCTATAGCTCCCATATATATTGTTCATCCGATTTGTTATTTTTGTCCACCGCCGCCGTAATATGCACAATGCAACAACAATATTTGGGGAAATATATCAAATACAGCTCAGAAATACTTTTGCTAAATTTTATCGAGATCGGTTCAGATTTGGATATAGCTCCCATATATAACTTCGTCCGATTTACCTTTTATTGTGCACCAAACGTCTAATATTTGTCCAAATGGCATGGAATTTGGAACTTACGACCAAATTGAGTCTAGAAGCTAGTATGTCAAATTTGGTGAAGATCGGTTCAGATATAGCTATAGCTTCCATATATATTATTCATCCGATTTGTTATATTTGTTACCCACAACCGTAATATGCACTCCGTAACAACGATATTCAGGGAAATATATCAAATACAGCTCAGAAATATCTTTGCCAAATTTTATCGAGATCGGTTCAGATTTGAATATAGCTCCCATATATATCTTTATCCGATTTCAAATTAATTGTACACCAAATGGGCAATACAATTCCGAATTTAAAAGATACAAATGCTTCGGCATATTTAGTCCTTTGAACTTTAAATTATAATTATAATCATAGCGTGTATGATTGAAATCTCCCATAAAAACTTTTAATTGTTATGTGGAGCTCTACTTAATTAGTAAAGTGGTGTAGGGTATCATAAAGTCGGCCCCGCCCGACTTTAAGACTTTCTTTACTGTTTTTTTTTAACAAATTTCCGTTACTAGAATTTTTAATTTTTTCCTATACTAGAATTTTTATGTCCTCAAATGTTTGGCTACAGAGGGTTATATTAACTAACCATCACTTATTAGAACTGCCATCAAAAGGGACTACCATACAAAAATGACACGCTTTCCAAATTTCAGGAATCTAGACCATACCATTTGTCGAATAAAAAAAATTAATTTTCTTCGTAAATTTTAGTACTTCTCGCACCATTTTAGTACGAATTTTCACACTCCTACGCTCTTAGTATGACCCTCTTGCGAACTCGGTTAAGGTTACTTTGCGATGTAAAATTTCAAAACGCTGATTCACGTGTATTTCATATTTAGCTCTACTTTCATAATCTGCTGGATTTTTCCTGCCGTTATTGAAAAAAATAAATTTTCTCCCACACACCTAGTTATTGGGACTCCCTAACTTCTAACCTTAAGCTATACAATTATTTGCCTGTAAAATCCATTTATTCTTGTTTATTTGCCATTTCATATTTTGATTAATATTTGTCACATCCATTGTTATCATAACAATGCCGGATATCACTCCGATTGTGTAATTCGAATAAATATTGAACTTCCCGTTCTGTTATTTTTGTTGATTGTTTCGTTTCGGCGGAATGTAAACATATAATATTTGCTTTATTTCATTAAAAGCTTTTAACAATAAATGTTATTTGCAAGGGCGTAGGTTGTAGCTAGGTGCCCCAAGGGTTGTTTGTCATATCGTTGAGATTTTTTTTTTACATTTTAGATTCGATAGCTACGCATATTAACTTTTAGAAGCGTTGGCAGATTCTCCGCTTCTATGCTGCTTACCGTAGCTTAGTCGCACACGTATTTACGTTGCTGTCATGTTAATATGTAATATGATTTGCGGAAATCCCATTACAGCATATGGCCAAATAATGTTGTTATGGCCAAAGAACAAAAAATAATGTTTTTGAAAAAATCAAATATTAATCTCGTTCAACATCTGCATTCATAAAATATATCGCAATTTTCCACTTGAACTTTAATTCGTGGTATTTTATTTACCATTAATCAAGCGCCCACAAATTTTCAGGAGAAAAAATTAATGATAGCAAAAAAAATTTCATGAAAACACGAAACCTTTGTGTTATGTTTTTGTTGTTGTGGTTGTTGTTAAAAGCTCGTATTTGTTGTCCGTTATTCTTTCTATTCATCGGAATTTTCATGGGAAAAAATATTGTTTTCGTGAACTTACTTACCTCTGATGAACGACGTAGTAATTGTTCGGTGGCATAAAGTCAATTTTGTGCAAGGAAAAATGGAAATCTGCAAGAGAAGGTAATTTGAAATTTTAATGAACGGCGAGATCATTCAAGGTTAATGGAATAAATAAGTGAAAAAAATTAAAGGTTAATTGGAGAAAAAATCGTAAGCAATGTATGCAGGTGAACATGTTTGATTGAGTTTTCAAGAATCCATTACCTATGGAATAAAAAACAAATAAAAATCTGAAAAAGACAGTAACTAAAAAACAGTAAGGAAAGGTCAAAAGTCAGGCGAGGCGGACTATATGATATCCTACAGAACTATGCATATTTAGTAGAGCTCCCGTAAAAAAGAATTTATTTGAAGTAGATCATACCATATATCAACATTTGGCTTTAGAGCAGTTACGATTTGGTTTCGAAGGGAATTAATATATGGCTGGCATATTCAATCCTGAATCGGGTTTCACTAAATTTGACGGAGACAAATTTTATATTTTATACCAAATAACATTTCTATAGAGTGCATGATATTAGGAATATATTAAAAAATATGTATCGGGGCCGAATTTCACCAAATGGAAACGTATGTCCCGATATTAGCCATTATTTGCACAATAAACTTGAAATCGAATTAAGGTTATATATGGGAGCTATATCCATATCTTAACCGATCTTAATAATATTTGGCAAATGTATTTCAGAGCTCTATAAGATATCTGATATCAAATATCATTATTGTCGAATGGATTTTACGGATGAAACATATTTATGAGAGCTATAGATATATCTGAACCTATTTTCACCAAATTTAAAGTACTTGCTTCTTGAACTGAATTTGTTCGGGTGTGCAAAAATTCAGTCCATTTGGAGTGATATTGACCACTTGGAACACAAAAAACATGAAATCGGATAATGATATATATGGGAGCTATATTCAAATCTGAACCGATCTTGACAAAATTTTAGACACTTATTTCTTAGGTGTATCTGATTTCAGGTACCAAATATTATTCTTGTGGATTGCATATTATGCATGTGAGTGACGTTTACACCAAATCGAATGAAACATATACAGGGTGAGATAAAACAAGTTAAAAAACAGTAAGTTCGGCCGGGTCGAACTTTGAATACCCTCCACCATTTGGAATGATTTAAGAAATTTTCAAAAAATAAAATCCTTAAAAAATTTTGTTAATTTTTAAAAATACCGAATATAGCCCTTATATTGGGGTCTATACGACGTGGACCTACAAAGGCATTGTTTGTCATAAGCCATTACCATATTCAAATTCGATAACTTGAAATTTACTGTGAATAATGTAGATAAAATCATCAAAATATCGTATATAGGGAGGTACCGTTATATCGGAGCTGTGTGAAGACCTGGTCCAGCATAGACAATTTTCTGTCAGAGGCTGTAACATCCATTACGAAGTTTAAATACGACATCTCAAAAAATATCGGTGGGTATTGTACCTAAACTCGTTAGAATATCGAATATAGGGAGGTACTGATGTATGGGGTCTATACGAAGATATGGACCTGCACATACAATTCTGTGACATGGGCTGTAGTATCCATTACGAACTTCAAATACCAAATTTGTAACATTTCCGTTGAATATTGTCGCTTAAATCACGAAAGTCCCGAAAATACGGAGGTACCAGTATATGGGGGCCATATGAAGATGTGGACCTGACAGACAATTTTCTGTCATAGGCTGTAGTACCCATTACGAACTTCAGATACGAAATTTGAAACATTTCCGGTGAATAACGTCACTCAAATCGCCAAAATATCGAATATCGGGAAGTAACGTTATATGGGGGCTATACCAAAATGTGGACCTGCACAGACACTTTCTGTCATAGGCTGTAGTATCCATTACGGACTTCAAATACTAAAGTTAAAACAATTCCGGTTTCGAGGTGTTACAAACGGAATGGTAATCTTAATATACCATCTTTATTATGATGGATGGTATAAAAATCTAATCAATTTGGGCTGATATCATATATATGGTGAGCAATAACCGTAGAATCGGATGATAATATATATCGAAGCTATATAAAAATCTAAACCGATCTCGATACAATTTTGCAGGGTTATTTTCGAGCTGTATCTGATGTCCGGTATCAAATATCACTGTTGTGGAGTGCATATTACGTATGTGAGGGGTTTTAACAGCAAATCGGATGAAACATATATATTGGAGCAATAGCCATATCTGAAGCGATTTTCACTAAATAGTGAAGTACTTGTTTCTAACATGAATTCAGTCAGAATTGCCAAAATTCTGTCCATTTGGGCTGATATTAACCATTTGGTGCACAATTAACCTGATATCGGATAAAACATATACAGGGTGAGATAAAAGAACTGCAACAAGGTCAAAGGCCATAATTTTTACTTTTTTTTAATTTTATTGAATGCAAGCAAGAAATGTCGGAAATAGCAATTTTAGAATAAGTTAAGATTTGTTCGAATTGGTCACTTTTGGCACGAATTATGGCCTTCAAACGGCCAATAAAACCGTCTGCGGTATTTTGGCCTATTCCCGGCGAAGCCCTTGCTTGAGGTGATCGACACTTTGGTATTTTTTAGCGCCAACCTTGCTTTCCAAAATACTCCAGACACAATAGTCCAACGGATTGGTATCCGGAGATTTTGGTGGCCATTGTGCGCTGAAAATGAAGCGAGGAACATCATTTTGTAATCATTCTTGGGTGAGTGCGATGGTGCTGAGTCCTGTTGGAATGTCTAAGGTCTGCGGCCAAAATGTTTGCGTGCCGAGGGCTTTAATACACTTCCCAAAATATTTTCGTGATAATATTCGGCATTTATTCTGATGACACGGTCGATTAATACGAGCGGAGAGCGATCATTGGCTGTTATGGCGGCCCACATCATCACCATGGCCGGCGCTTGAGTTCTGGTGGCCAACCGAAGGTGCACATTTTTAGCTGACCTCGTTGGCAAGTTTGTTCACAAACTGCTGGACTACGAATGTTTTCTCATCGGAAAAAACCAACTTCGGCAGTTCACCACTTTCAGCCAAGCGAAGCAACTCTTTAGCTCTTGTGAGTGTATTTTCTTTCTGTTGCGGTGTAAATTCTTTTTGGAATTTCAATGGCGTAACCCCGAGCTCATTTGTCAATATTTGCCGAATGGAACATTGCGATATGTTCAGCTCACGAGCCATTTTTTAGCCACGCGGGACGAGGATTTCGATCAAGTCGCTTCTTTACTTTTCGAACCATTTTTGCTGATGTTGCTGTTTTCTTCCGTCCACTTCCTTGACATCGCGCTACGCTACCAATATCACGGTAGCGAGCGATGATGGGAGACACAAAAGATTTATTCAAATTTAAATGCTGGACTGCTCTAACGATAGCCACTTGTGGTTTTCCAGCCAAATATAAGGAAATCACACTATCACGCTTAAATTCCATCACGAATAACTTTTTTTCTGTATAATTCTCATCAAATTGCTTTTGTACGCTTGTAAACAATATAATGACCTATCACTGAAATAATTTTAACAGCTGTCGGACTAGTGGCTTAGAAATGACAGCAGTCTGAAGTTGTTTGCAGTTTTGTTATCTCACCCTGTATATGTAACATCATAGATTTTTTGAAATTCCGGCGAATTTTACCATTTGTTGAAAGTCGATCCGATCATATCATACACTATACAGCAATGTTATTTGGTTCATAGTAGAAGAAAAAAATAATAATAATATTAAAACGCTAAATACCCATATTGCTTCAAGCATCCGAAGCTCCTTAATTGGGCGCCATTCTTATGTGAAGAATTTATCAAAAATCTATTGAATTTTTTATTAAAATACAAATATAAAATTAATTTCCTATTGTATTTACATTGCGGTTTTAGAAGAAACAATTCTCTTTATTGATATTATTTCTCTGCTTTTCTTACGCGCTTTATAATCGCATTCGAAAGTTATAATTCCTCCACACAAAAGAAATCTTCATTTCCTATTATTCCCTTAAGCACAAACTTATGTTGAGGATTTGCTTTCAAGTTTTCGTTTTTTTTTTTCAAATCCACACTCCCACACACAAACACAAACTTTGTGTTCAATCTAATCGCCATGATCCTGAAAACTAACGAAGTGGCAAAAACAATATCTCCCCATTCACACACGCACACCAAAAAGTAATCTCACATAAAAATGTTTGTTTTAAATTGAGAACCTGGGATAACATCGCAACGAAAAGATTTACATATTTTTGCAATTTTGTATGTCTTGGAAAATGGAAAGAAAAACTTGTAACACATTTCAATTTGATTAGAATGGAAAAAATAATTTTCTTTGATGGCATTTTATTTGTAAAAATATAATTTATTATTTTTTGAAAATTCGATAAGAAAAACTTGTTTTGAAATCAATTATGGTTTTTGTGATGTTAACAAATAGTTTGATTTTATTAAATGTCGCCCAAGGGCTATATGAAGTCGTAAAACTTGTAAACATATAACCTCAATGTGTGGAGAGAGAATAAATGACAAAAGAAAACACTGACAGAGGTGACCAACAAAAAAAAAAAAAAAAAAATAAATAAATAAAAAAATCCTATCCTTAAGGACAAAGGAGTTTTGGGAATACAATTATGAAGATATTTTATACAAAATATGCCTCGTCAGATTGTGAATAGTTTCCTGGAAAAAGTATGATGTCAGCTCACTTTTAGATACAGTCTCTATAGAACGGGTTATATCGACCACTTCATTCAGTATCGACTACTTCATTCACCTTCACAAGAGAAATTTAATAAATTTTGAAAAATTTAGAAATGTGCGTGAGGTAATGGACCGAAGTATTCCACTTCATCTTATACTGAAAAAAATGTTGGAATGAGCATCTAACATTTATTTCAAGTTTCTGCGAATAATTATTCAAAATTTAAACATTTTTTGGCGGGAAGTATCAGAAGGAGTGAGCCGATGATTTCTATAGTCACAAAGATCTCAGGTTGTCGCTGACTAGTTTCGCAAATTATAAGAGATATAAATTTTGAAAAATTTGACCCATT